CTGCATTTTATATTTACATTACCAGTCTGTATGCATTTTCCCTCTCAAATGAGGTTCATCTGAATCTTTCACACAGCCGGTCACAGTGAAACAATGTAAGTTATTGTGTAACCAACCACAAAATCATTCATGTAATCTTCCCACGAGAACATGTACAGATATGCACGATGATGATGCATTGACCACAGTGTTGTGAAAATAATACGAGTCGATCGCAGATATTTTGTATAAAGCAGCAAGATATCGACACATGCAGAGTCTAAAACCTGCTCGCACAACTCTATGCTTAAGCACTGTAGTGTTTATAAGAAAACCAAACTTACCCAACAAAAACTGCCAGTTTGATATGCAATTCTGTTCTAGACAATTCTACTCCAAATTTGACTCTACTCTAACAGTCATCTCATGCAAAATAATGCACCGTTCGCGAAATGTTCTATAGCGATGTCCGATTCCTGAACCCAGTTCACAGTTTGAACAATTCATTCACGATTGAATCGGTCAGAGCGGCTCCGACTGGGCCATTTGACTGAAAACCAAAATACACATAAGATACATAAGTGCCTATATATGGCTTTACTGGAACGTTTTAGAGCATGTACTATGACACGCCGAATCGCCGATATATGTCACAAACGACGATGTGACGTAAAAGAATCACTGGAATTTTGAACCGGTCAGAACGAACCGTTGGAAAGAACTGATTCGCGGAATTGACTCGGACATCCCATCACTGCTACATACCTCTGTCAGAAAACCATTAGGGTTTCAATGACATCTGGCGGTTAATGCCGAACGCTTTCAATCACTATGCTGTTAGTTTTGTAATTTTTGTTTAATGAAAAAATAAAGTCCTTAATAAAATCATCATCCAGGAAGTGATCATTTTTAGTGGAAAGACAACACTACTATAGTATTAGCAATGGCTATCAAAAATCTGAGATTGACCACAGCAAAGTACCCTCTTATATATACAGTGGGTACGGAAAGTATTCAGACCCCCTTCAATTGTAGCAAAGTGTCATTTCTTCAGTGTTGTCACATGAAAAGATATAATAAAATATTTACAAAAATGCGAGGGGTGTACTCACTTCTGTGAGATACTGTATATAAAAACAAATAACAGACATATTCATTTAAGACACAGTCCAAAAAGTACTGCTACATTTAATGCAACAAACCGGGTGAGCTAAATTCCAGACTCATTTGTGAATATTTTTTTACTTGCACATTCCATTTTATTTGAATCGATTTCATTTTTGTGAAACTCCTGCACATTTTGTGGATTATAATTTATAATAAATTTATTTGGAATTATGCAACAAAACTATCTGTGCTGTGAAACTGTAAACTCACAACTGCAATGATTTGAAACAATGGTTTTGTTTAATTGCTGATTGTGTAAATTGGGGTGCGAGATGCACACACACAGTATTGATAAATTACCTTGAGTAAATTCTTTTCAGCTCTAACACGATTGTGTGACATTTCACACTGCTATATCATGCTTGAAAATATATTTAAGTCTGCAAATCCATAAAAATGATCTGGACAAACTATTGCTATTACTCTGTGCTATTTTTGCATATGCACTCTCAGTAACTATAACTGGACATGACAAATACCTCAACCACCCACAAATTTCCTCCCCTATTCCTTCACACAAGCTAAGTGCTTTACTATGGAAGTGCAAAATCTTTTAACTAGTCCAAAACTCCCAATAAATTTAGTGGTAGAATGGCACGATCCAATAAAGTACATTTAATAAACAAATGAACCTAGTGGTTTCTCAACACACTTTACATTTCAGTGTTTACAGTGTCAGCTCCCACATTTATAGTTTTTTGATTTGAAATAATGCCCTTTGTGAGAAACAAAGCCTATTTTGGCACTTAAGATGACACAACAGAGGGGCAGAGAGGATAACAGTAGTTATTAACCAAATGCATTTATTTCTGCAACAACACGTTCACGTCCTCCCCGCTACCCAGCACACACACACACACACATCCTTGCAAACTCCATTTAAATACATGACGTGAGAGCCAGCATTACCTCACTGTTTGCTGCACATGCTTTAATAAAATGATACACATATTTACAGAATCCACAATTTCTGAATTCCTCTCCTCATCTCCCTCCCCTCAGCAAAGACAAAGTATTCTTCCAAACTCATAGTTCCCCTCTCAGAAGAAAAACAAAATATAACACTTAAGGGTGGATTTGAAAATTACCCACAATTAAAAATAAATTCAGCAGAAAAAAAACAAAACAAAAAAAAGAGGGGAAAAAGAGATGGAAACAGAGAAAGAGCAATGGATCTTTTGGCCAGTACAACACAGCAGTGCGTGGAGTTTAATAACAGCGCAGATATGGCAGTAACACTGAAATAGCTCATAAAGTCTATATACAAGGTCACGATAATGGTGGTCGAGCCTCTTGTGTGGAATCCGCTCACAGACACGAGCACACCTCATCATACGAACTGTGAGGAAATGGAGGGGAAAGATGCCTTGGCTTTTGAAAAACCTCCTAAGAGTATATATTGTGGAAAGGGATCTGGACAAACTATTGCTATTACTCTGTGCTATTTTTGCATATGCACTCTCAGTAACTATAACTGGACATGACAAATACCTCAACCACCCACAAATTTCCTCCCCTATTCCTTCACACAAGCTAAGTGCTTTACTATGGAAGTGCAAAATCTTTTAACTAGTCCAAAACTCCCAATAAAAACTGGTAGAATGACACGATCCATAGAGGTAAATTTAGTAAACAAATTAGCCTAGTGGTTTCTCAACACATCTTACATTTCAGAAGTTAGTCCCCGCTTCAACTTTTATAGTTTGTTTTTTTTAATAATACCCTTTGTGAGAGACAATGCCTATTTTTGCACTTAAGATGACACAACAGATGGGCAGAAGATAACAGTAGTTATTAACCAAATGTATTTATTTCTGCAACAACACGTTCACGTCCTCCCCGCTACCCAGCACACACACACACACACATCCTTGCAAACTCCATTTAAATACATGACGTGAGAGCCAGCATTACCTCACTGTTTGCTGCACATGCTTTAATAAAATGATACACATATTTACAGAATCCACAATTTTGGAATTTTGCCTCATCCCCCTCCCCTCAGCAAAGACAAAATATTCTTCCAAACTCATAGTTCCCCTCTCAGAAGAAAAACAAAATATAACACTTAAGGGTGGATTTGAAAATTACCCACAATTAAAAATAAATTCAGCAGAAAAAAAACAAAACAAAAAAAAGAGGGGAAAAAGAGATGGAAACAGAGAAAGAGCAATGGATCTTTTGGCCAGTACAACACAGCAGTGCGTGGAGTTTAATAACAGCGCAGATATGGCAGTAACACTGAAATAGCTCATAAAGTCTATGTACAAGGTCACGATAATGGCGGTCGAGCCTCTCGTGTCGGATTCGCTCACAGACACGAGCACGCCTCGTCGTATGAACTGTGAGGAAATGGAGGGGAAAGATGCCTTGGCTTTCGAAAAACCTCCTAAGAGTATGTATTGTGGAAAGGGCAGAGCAGAACATGTTTTATCTTTGCGTTTTCTCATACCTGTCTCCTTCTACAGCTCTCGACTGTTCTGTAGTAAATTAAATGGAAATAAGGCACAATAACTACGCTGACTGTTTCATTAAGAGGGGAAGGGAGCGTTCTGTTGACCAATGAGCAGACAAGTTGATCCAATTAAACTACCATACTGATCTTCCCTTTGCATCCCAACCAGCTGTTCAGATTTACACAGTACAAATAAAACAACAGTTTTATGGCGAGAATGCTAACGGATACCCTCCCCCCACAAACATTTCCCATCCCGAATGTTTTACAATCGCATTGTGACAAAAATCGCTACACACTAGTGGTGCACACAATACAAAAATTGCTAAGAGCACCCACTCACCCCAGACCCTCCCAACCTTTGGACTGATTGGCTGATGGCAGACAATCTGGCTTTTGGATTGGTTACCATATTCATTCGACATACTTTGATTTAAAATGACAACGTTCTCAGTCGACGAATAAGCATGAGATTTAAATGCTTGAGAAGTATATGAGATCTGTGTTGTGGTACAATAATCACACGCACAAAAACAACAACAAAAAATATCACTTAAATGGGGGGGGGGTCTCTTCTCTTAATGAAAAGAGACCCCAGTTGCGTTTTTTAACCTGTTGTGTACTGAACTCCAGGCATCTGCCCCGTTCTATGTGTGTGACCTTTGAAGTCATGAACACCCACCCCAGACCCTCCCAAGCTTTGGATTGATTGGCTGAAGGCAGACAATCTGGCTTTTGGATTGGTTACCGTATCCACTCGACATTTACTTTGATTTAAAATGACAACATTCTCACAGTCGACGAATAAGCATGAGATTTAAATGCTTGAGAAGTGTTTGAGACGTGTGTTGTGGTACAATAATTACACACACAACAACAAAACTAACTTAAATGGAAACAAAAATAATTAAGAGAGACCCCAGTTGCGATTTTTAACCTGTTGTGTACTGAACTCCAGGCATCTGCCCCGCTCTATGTACGTGACCTTTGAGGCCATGAACGGTGAAGTCCCCAAAGGAAATTTAAGTGAATAAAAATGTATGTGTATTCAGTGTTTCCTCCTTTCTCCTTTTTATTCATCTCTTCACATTGTCAGTCCAAGTCTGAACGCGCAAATGTGCAGGATGCTATAAAAGCCTCCGGTGCGCTCCACTTTCCATTGGACTGTAGGGTAAACGACGGAAGGTTTAGGGGTTTAGACTGTATGACTGACCATTTAGGGTGTAGGCCTGGTGGTTTATGGTATAGTGTTTGATGGTATAAATTGAGTGTTTAGATGGGACAGGAAGACTGAGGGTCAAGGAGCTGGATTAAGGAGAAGGTATCAAGAACAGAAAAGAAGAGTACAGGAAACTCTGACAGGCTATTGGTCTTTTTTGGTAGAAGAACAGTCAGAACAGCAGGGGGCTTTCAGACAGATGCGTTTATCTCTGTGGTGGAGCAGTAGTGGGAACACGGTACGATCGAGGTAAAGGGCAGATTCTGAGGGGTTTTCTTGCTGGGGTTTAACTATTCTGGATGGTGGTCTTCTCAGTCCTGGGCTTCAGCTGCTGTGGATGCTTCAGCAGATCATTCGTGTTTTTGATGATCCTTCATGTCCTCTTCATCTGTGTACTCAGACGGCTCATCTCCTGGCTTCAACAAACGGCCAACGTAGTCATATTTCTCTGAGAGAGAGGAGGAACAAGTGGAAAAAGAATTAATAAAACTATTTTCATATAAAATTGCATTTATGTTATTTCTTGTTCATGCATATTGTGTGCATATTTATCTTGTGCACAAACTTTTGGAAGGACTCTTATTTGGACATTGAACTTTGGTAGTAACAACTAGGGAGAAGTTAGCATGATCCTGCTAGCTTCTGTTGGTTGTAAAATAACTTCCTGCACAGACCATCTTTCTCCATCAGTGTTATTGTTACCTACAACTAAACTAAAACTATTAAAAATAATTTGTTATTTGAAATAAAGCATAAATAAAATAAAATATAAATATTAAAATGAACAAAAAAAAATTTAAATGAAAAAAAATAATAATAATAATAAAAAAAATGCAGCTTTGGTAACTAATTGAAGTAAGTTTAAACTAAAGTACTTACCTAAACCTAATAAAATTGAGCACATAAAATTATTCAAACTTAAAAAAAAAATAAAATAAAATAAAAATTATTATTATTATTATATATTAGGGATATGCCGGTATCAAATTTTCATGTTGCGATTAATTGCTTATGCTTTTGCTCACGGTATGCGGTATTATCACGATATTGACATTTAGTTAAAAAAAAAAGTGCTGTCATAATACAGTATAACCGGTTTTTCCGTGAACTTGTTTATGGAGCGCCACGCCACACTTCTGTTTTAAATCTGTTAGCTTAATTATTGAAGCCAGATATATTTAGCTTCTTTTTTTTGTTAATGAAAACAAATTTAGAAGCAAATTTTATACTAAATGTTTATCCAATTCTTTTTTGAGGGTTCTTATAAGGCGTTCACCATGAATTCACCTCTGGTAGCAACAACGCAAACAAGCAGAGTGAAAAAATAGTGTGCTTTATCACCAGAGTAACTTATAAGCAGCATTAATCTGTTATATTACATGCCTGATTTTCCCCACAGGCGGTGACAGGGACGTCAAGCTGTTTATCTCACATTTCCTCATCGCACACAGCAACACAAACAGATATGAGACTGTTCTACACTGAATCAATCAATCTAGATCAGTCAAGTATAAACCTTATTGTATATGGCTATAGAACAAGAGTCACTCTCCCCAACACACACACACACACACACACACACTCATACATACATATAAACATATATAAGTACATTAAGGGGACCACCTCATCTCATCCAAGAATCATTTGTGTGATTCATAAGTGACATTCGTTTTTGAGTGCAGCTATTGAAGACAATGCAATAAAAATAAGTCTTTTCTTGACTTTGTTTCATGGTACCAACTACCCAGTCTTTTTATCTTATCTCATTTAACTGAGACCGTCTGACACATCACCGCTGAATAATGGTGCAGGAAACACTGATATATAGTGCTGTTCAAAATATCGATACGACGATGTATCGTCACAGAGATTTGATGATACGAGCATCGATACAGCTGGCCCTGTATCGATATTGTGGCACGTGTGCAGCAGTGGACCACGCTTAATTTGTTTAAAATTTTACAACGTTTAAAATTGAGTAGAAAAGTGCCAGGTTTCTAAAAAAGAAAGAATAGAGCATATATAGGCTACAACAAGGTTTAATCTGGCCGCAGAGGAACACATCTGGGTTGCCTGATATAAAGAGATGTAATCCCCGAAACAGAGTATTACACTTGCGCAATACGGAAATATCTGCTAAGTGTGCTACTTATCTTTGTCAAACTGGCAACCATGTGCACGCGCGCTCTCTCTCCACTGTGGATAAACGTGCTTGCTTTCTGAAAACACCGCTTAGCTTGCAGTTTAGCGATCTCCACTTCAATGTTCTATTTGTAAATTGTAATTCATCGAGTGTTCATTTATGAGAGAGAGAAAGAGATAGGAGGTGTATGTATGAATTACCACCGTTTTGCCGCGTTTCTCTATAATATACATTTATTAGAACGAGTACATTATTATTTATGGGCTTAAAAACAAGATGCAAACAATCAGAATATTGTACCTGGTTGGGAGTGCACAATGTAAACATGAAACATATGCCATTACCTACAGTTATGGAGGCCCTTCATAATGCAGAGGTCAGCCAATAACTCTGCCAATAGTTAGAAATGGCACTATAGTAAGCAGTGTTTAATAAACAGCTGTTTTTCTCAATTCTGCTAAGGTGAAATTCAGTGCAGTCCTGTATCGTGGCCTATGTATCGTGATACGTATCGTATCGTGACTTTGCTGGTGATACACAGCCCTACTGATATATGGCCATACATTTTTTATAGCTCTCCAGCTCTCTGATCTAGAGTGAACAGGACAATTAAAGAAAACTGTCACTCATTATCTAGAGAATTTGCCCAGTACCCCATTCCTGCATCAGCTGTGTGATTACAGTAAATGTACAGATCAGCCCTAACCAGCACAACAGGAACAACATGCAGAGCTTGTGGACCAGGAGGAGTGAAAACTACCTACCTACCTAACATGCACAACTTTCCTACCTGCAATTACCCGAAAGGCCAATAAAACCTTTCAGACATGATTAGATTTTTGGGCAAATTAAAAGCTTTCTTTCTGAATTCACAGTGGAATTCTCCTGCTTACCCATGAACTGCATCTCCCATTCTCGAACGCTTTCCATCTGTACAGCATTCAGGTCTGAAAGATCATCGTACTCGTCTCGTAATGCATCCTTCTCCAGGCAGAATGTTGCCAAACCCCGAGAAGCATCACGTCCCGCAAAGATCCCGTAGGGGCCCTCTGGAACAACAGACATACTGTGAGCATAAAGGTCAGCAAGACAAATTTAGGAACTTCTGCACATTACAGATACAATAACCAGAACTGAAAATGCAATACTGCCAGGGATTCATCAATTATTGTCTGATCTGAAATAAATTTGTGAAATTAAAATAACAACAACTACACATTAAACAAAAATATAATTAAGCTAATTAGCCCTCCTACGTTAAAATGTAAAAAAACAAAGAAAATAAACACTTAATTATTGAACTGTCTGAAAATAAGTAAAATAGTAAAAAAGTAAAATAATTAAGGTAAATTGTCAAGTGTTTAAAATAACAGTACTTATGTATTATTCATAATGAATAATAAATAACAATTAATAATTACTACTAACAATAATTAGTATAAATTAGTACTATTATTTTTACTACTACTACTAGCAGTAGTAAGAGCCCAACTGAAATGCAATCAAAACAAAACTCTATTAACCTACTAAAAGAAAACAGGTGTAGAGTCAGTGGGTCAGACAATCCCAGACAAGCTGAAACCAAAGTGGATTGTCCTCTCAAAAACAACCAAACAGCTGAGATGAATGGAGCCGCTCACGCAAACCAGAGGAATGCAAGTAAACAAACAGGTACTCCAAAACAGCTGTGAGAGATTCTGTGATCAACACACTGCACCGAGTAAGGAAATTAATGTAAGGTGCCATTAAAATACACTATGGCTACGTCTACATTAATCCGGAAACATTTGAAAAATGCTCTCCTTCCACACTAGCGTTTTCCAAAAGTTTCTCATCCACACTGAAACATCAGAAAACTTTAAATTCGCCTGGCTGTGCATGTGTAAAACCTCATAAAAGCTCATATGATGATACAGACGGAACAGACATAAATGACCCAATATTGATATTTAAGGAGCTTTTATAAAAATGCCTTAGAAGAAAATGTTACATTGCATCCTGAGACAGTAGAATGGCACTGACATATTTTAAGATATGTCAGAGCAACATATTTTCAGTTGAGACAGCTCAAACATGCATTTTAGTCTGGGACTAGCTTTAAGCCTTGTCTGTGAAACCGGGGCAATACGTTTTCATGCAATTCTTCCTGTAGGATCGTTTTATTCACGAAAATCATCATTCACCTGACATGTCCAAGTCACGCTCACTCACCATTATATGTTTGATCTGAAATGCAACTGCTCTCATGTTTTGCCGCAGGACAGCAATATGCGAGTAAATTTCCTGTCATCTTTGCAGGACTGTAATATGAAGAGTGTACAAAAACGTGAATAGCACATAACAGGCACAATAATACCCGTATAAACATAGATATCTATTGGTACAATATGCGTCACATGACTAAACGTGATATTGTTTTCAAAACCCTCCGTTTTCACAGTCCACACTACAGTGTAAAAAATGGCGTTTTCAAATGTATCCACTTTGGAGAGCGTTTTCAAAAAGCTCTGTTTTTCCTGACAAAAATGCTGTGTTGGTGTGAACAGAAGTCCAAAATGGAGAGAAAAAGATGCGGGTTCAAACGAAAACATATTAGTGTGGACAAAGCCTATACTGCACCAACAAGAACCAACTCCAGCTGTGCACAAACCGCTCAGGCCACACCTTTCCTCCCAAACCTAAAACGTGACAGATGAGCACGACAGACTGATGAACTTCAGTCCATAATCAAAACAAACAAATGAACTGATGGGATAAAATGAGAAGATAAGAGGACAGGCACGTCTCTAATACTTGCTGCATTCAGAGTTTTACTTCATACCCTCTTGAACAGGAACTAGAATCCATGATTCATAAATAATATGACTGCCAAAAGCCTTCCAGATAGAGAGACTGAGCTTTAGTCATTGTTTATTCAGAACAGAAGGCAATAGAAGGGGCAATCAGAAAGCCATCTTTTGATACTTCTTATTTTGGTTCATCATCTGATCTCCATGTGCAAAAGCCAGTTAGCTCTCACACACACACACACTAATTTTTTCAGCGGTTGAGCAATAATAGTCTTAGAAGAAACAAGCAGGTCCAGAAAAACATTGAACAAAAAGAACAAGCTGCCCTATGGTCGAGTGATAAGACACCACGTCTGCCTACAAAGTACAAACCTATGCTATAGTCTCATCAGGCTATAAATGAATGCAGCAACAGGTAAATAAAGCTGATCTCATATTCTGTCTGGGTGAAATGGTGCAAGATGCCACCCAGAACTACAGGCATCTAAATGAATGACGAACTGGTCAGAGTCTGGTCTACTGCTGACACCACACCTTGAACGCCCCACGCTCCCCTATAAACGCCACAGATGGTCAGATAACATATCTCATATACAAATATAGCTGAGGGAGATGAGAGGCCCAATCAGAGGCTCTAGTTCGAACTGTATCTAGTTTGAAATGCAATCAATGGCTGTGATGATCCTGGTACAGTGTTATGTGCATTCTTGGTTTCACTTCTGACCTGGGTCTCTAAAAAAATAGACTCCAGACAGACAAAAGACTGCTGTTCTGGCTTCGAGAGCGAATATTTCAAGTATTCTGTGTAGCAAACAGCTGTTTTGCAAAGCCTGTAAACTGCTCTTAAAGTACAGGGGAAAGAAACAAGCGTTTCCCTGCAGGGGAGGGAGGAAGGAATGAGGCTCGGTGCTTGATTTCTTAACCAAGGCCACTGCTAAACTTAGCTGACCTAATATTCATCATAGCAAATCAAGCTGTTAGCGTTACGTTTAAAATAAGCATATTGATTATTGCATGGTACAGCGCCTCTACCTGTACAGTGCATACCTGATGGGTGTGCCAGCACATGGCTCTCACCCCGTATGTCCACGTCACACACGGTTCTCATTCAAAAATGCACTGACATGACAGGTTGAAGCCTGGGAAAGAGTTCACCAATGCAAAACAGAGCGGAAGAAAGGTGACCGCAGTTATGAATGAGACAGAAAGGGCCCGTCAAGAGGCTGACAAACTCTGATAAGACATCAGACCACCCTGTGCATCATCACAGCAGGGGTTTATGGGAGAAAGAGGCTTTGTGTGACTTTACCCTGACCAGTGTTTACCAGTATTAGCTTTTCTCTGACCAGAGTATAAGTTGGTTGCCACAAAAGCTATTCTTCTATGGCAAGCTGTTGTTGTTTTTTTTAAACTAACCATTACAAGTAATATTGATTAACATTTACTTACTATAGGTTTAGCTGCTTAAAATTATGCATAATTTCTTATTATTACTACAGCAAGTACATGTAACGTGTAAAAAGGACAACAAAACAAAGTGCTGTCAGTAATCTAACCGTATCCTTCACTATTTCATTAGTAACTACTCGTTAGATGTTAGTACTTTATTATTGATTAATATCTATACAATTAGCCACTAGTACTTATTCAACAGATACTAGTCACTGCTGGAATAAAACACTAGTATCCAGTTGTGACTTGTAACTATTCCATTATTACTACGTTAGTTAAAGATGGCCAAAACTGAAATATTAACTTCAAACCAGTATGTAGCCTATTCCAATTGTTGCTAGCACTCCCAGTTTTATTTAAAAAAAAAAAAAACGGTTACTTTATTTTAAGATCTCCTTGTTACAGTGTAACGTTAGTCACATAAATAAGTACTGTGTAATATTAATAACCACATACACTTACTATATGGTTATGGTTAGTCGCTTGTAATTAAGCATAATGTACAGTTACTGCTATAGTAACGTATAACAGGCAAACTGTGAAATAAAGTGCTACCGAGAATATTAATAAGGTGTTTATTATCCAGTAGTTACTAGTACGTATTCCAGCTTTAGTAGACTTTGCTTACTGGATACTAACGTTAGTACCTTCTCCATTGCTGAAGTTAAAAACCCCCGCTGAATGTGGGTGTGAGCCTGAGCCCTGCGCTCTCCTTACCGCGTCCGTAAAACTTTTTGCCGCTGGTCACGTCGAAGACCTTGGTATTGACTGCCATGAGGATGCGCGGGTTCTGCACGCCGTTGTACTCGCGCAGCTGCTGCAGGGTGAAGTCGCGTCTCCTCATTTTGGGAAGCGGCGAGGCCTCGCTGCCCCGGCCCGCGTCCGCGCCCGCCCTCCGCCACCACCGCGCGTAAACCACGTAACACGCGGCCAGCAGGAGCACCAGAACGCTGAGATCGAGCAGCATGCCGCTTATACCGAGACCGGCCCCCGGATCCAACTCCTCCGTCGTGCCCTGCCCGCCGCTAGTGTCCGCCGCTGCACTCCTACCGTCTCCATCGTCCGCCATACTGCAACGATAGCGGCTTCCCACCGCGCTCGCCCTCCCAGCTGCCACTCCGGGGCGCTTCTGATTGGCTGTCTGTTACCGGAACACCGCGTTGGCTCCTGGGATTTGTAGTTTTATGTCAGAGGCGCCTACAAGACCACCGAGCGCATGCGACCAGACAAAGGCTTGAGATAATGAAAAGGCGCTGTTATGATTATATTTATCAGTAGCCAACCGCGAAAAAATACTGAAGTATGCAGAAAATCTGCTTTTTAATTAACCTGCAACTCAAAAGTATGTTCTACTTTTATCTACAACACAGACATTAAACAATGAATGTGTATTAAATACAAAACTGAATAATATGATAAATATATATGATGTGATAAATATTATATGGCAGTCAATAACTTAAAAACTAATCATAATTCAATAAAGATAACAGTATCCCTTGTGAGCCCGTTATCTTCACAACTCAGAATTGACAATCTTTACTATTGCTAAAGTGCAAAATATGCATTCAAGTCCCTTGACCCCTAACAGTTTCTGTAGGCTATACATATGTTATTGTTGAAAAAGTGTCTATTGTTTACAATGTCTGAAATAATTGTTTATAGTGTAGACTAAATGTATTGTTTACAACAGAGCAGCTGCATTGCTCTCCGTGTGTTTATCATGTCTGTAAGAGGGTTCCTGTAGTCATGGTAAACCTGGAAATATTAGCAAATTTTAAGAGGGTCTTAAGGCCTGGAAAGTCATGAAAATATTTATAGTGAACACACATGCTTCAGGTTGTGCTCGGTTCTAAAATATTGACTATATTGTTTTTTCGTGAGTGCAAACTATTTATTACTTTTTTAAAATCATTATCCAGGAAGTAACTGGAAAAGTAATGGAAATTGTTTTGTTCAAAACGTGGATCCCTGTGTAAGATCCAGTAAAACAACATTACACAGCACACGCTGACCTGACTTGAACTCAACAAGAAATACAATATATATTATTTTGGGGTTTTATAAACAGATTTTAATATATTTTAAGTTTTTTTTACATTTTACAATTTATGAGGAAAGAAAAAAAATTAAACCGACATGCATACCAACACACAAGCGCACACAAACAAAAATATCACAATAAAATGAATCAATAAAAATGAATTGATTGAAATTAGAGAGCTGCTTCTACTATTTTTTTATGTACAGTTTTCATAAGCAAATATGATACAATCGGGACATCAATTCAGTGTCTGATTAATGATCATAAGTGAGAAATAAAACACTGATTTAATATTATCAGCAAAGATCCAAACCTCAAAATAAAAATATAATGCAAATAAAAGTATTCTCTGGGCCACCATGTTTGCGGCCATCTACACTCTCTCAGTAATATCAATAAAAAAAGATTATAATCAATTAAGCTTTCAAAAGAGAGTAAAACAATAAATGATCTCAAACTCAACTCCAATAGGATTCAAAATTTAAAAGGAAGAATAATTCCTCTCAAAAAGATAACATTTCTTAGAAACTTCAAGTATACAGATGTTTACCAGTTTAAGTCAAAATGATCAAAAGGTCAAAGATGTTTTCTCCTCTACTCTGCACCTAAACTGGAGATGTGGCATCTTTGAGATCACCACCTCCGCAATGTGAACGGCACAATATTTGTTTAAAAGCAGGAGCATCCTGTAGTTCCTGATGATGTTAACACTTTTTACAATCCCTCACCACTGATATCTACGTACTTCTCCGATATTCAGCTCAGACACTCAGCTAATCACAGAAGCATAAAGAACTTAGTATTCCATCACTGTCATATTTCCTACACAAGCTAAAAGAGCAAAAAAGGCAATAAGCTATATAGTGTGTTATCTTGTGTCACCCTCAGTTCAAGTTTTTTTTAGTTTGATGAGCTTTTTTTTACATTTTTAAAATAAATGAACTAAATATGTGTACTGTGCATTTCGCACAAAATTAAAAACACTTAAAAACCAAAAGATTAATTATTTATGCTGACAGAGCTGTAAAATATATATATATATATTGTTGTCGCTTTTGAAATGTAAGGCATTTGCAAAGGTAAAACTAATTTTAAAAGAGATAAAACTGCATTCGATGTAGGAATGCATCTTCTGTAAACTTTACAGCAAAACAAGTTCACCATGCGTACTTGATTCTGCAACTACTAACCGCGGGGAAAAAAAACAAAAGAAAGAAAAAAACAAAAAGATCTTATGGAAGTTAACCTGTCCAGAAAAAGCACCTTGTACAACACAGATATTTCTGGTTTACTCTTCAGTTTGTGAACGCAACGGTCTGACAGTTGGTTTGACTGGCTCACTTCCGAGGTTACGGTGTAAAACGTAAGCCTGCACCAGCACTGAAAATCTTTTCACAGCTCTAGAGTTAGAATCACGCTCAAATACTGTATATAGTGTAGCAAGGGCTTCATTTCTTTGGCTGCTGGGCATCTTTGTTTTTGCTCGTCGCCGCCTCTCCTTTACGAGCATCTGATGAGGTATTCTTCTTCACATTCTCTTTGGGTGGGGCTTTTGTAGACGGGTCATTAGCCATGCTGCTTTTGGCGGTCAGAGGTGCTGCTTTCTGATTGGCTGTGACTGGTTTGGCTGATGGTTGATTGGTGGTTTTCCCTGTCGTTGGGGCAGCGGCTTGATCTGTTGTGGTTGTTTTTGCCATCACTCCAGTGGTTGGCTGATTGTCTGAAGATGTCTTGGCAACTGGGGTCTGTTTCGATGATGATGTCGAGTTGTGTCGCCTACGTTTCACCTCGTCTCCTGCGGAGGACGAGTGTGCTTTCCTCCTTACTCCTTCCTCTGCCATTGGTGGCTAAGAGAAAGGAAATTACATTTGGTTTAGAGTTTAACAGACTACTATTAACAGTTAGAAAGTGATTAAATGTATATTGACGAATCCGATTTATCCTATAAAGCCTACTGTATAATATCTGATACACAAATTTCTAAGGCCACTAAATTATCAACAAGATCAAAGCTGTGCTGAAAAACCTGTTGCACACAATCTACTAACTTCTGGTTTCTGATCAACAGTTTATACTATTGATAGATAAATATATATATATATACATTTGTCTTTTTGCTTTAAAATCTTTATTGATTTTTTATAAAGTAAACCTAAGAATTATCTTTATATTGTTAGTAATATTTTACATTGTTAGATGTTTATATTGTATTGTATTTCTTGTTAAAATGTGAGTATCAATTATGATATACATCAGGCATTTGAGGAATATTTATTTGTACTTCTCTCATCCATCAATGTATTGCACTGCATTACATGTTTTGTCCCTAGAGAGCTTTGGCCATAAAACTAAGCATTTAAATATCATCTTACTGATATACATTATTCGGAGATATAGAGTGACAACTCGTAGTTATATGAATTTTATGCAAGTAGTCTGTTATACTGTATAAAATCTCATCAGGTGACAAGCTATCAGAATTTCATTATACTTTTTGGCCATGTAAATATCAGCAACTGCACCAAATTGCATATTTTTGCTCAATTTGGGCCTTTGAATAAAAGCTTTATTTTTCCTCGAGTATGAGCTCCATGTTCATTTATATTATTGTATGAGCCATGAAAACCTCATATGCATAAAAATTATAATAAATAAAAAAAACACATGTAAACCTTTTTATTTTAGATTTTGTTTAAAGGTTTAAAAAAAACTGTTCCATTTCAGAAAATGTTTTTTAGCTACTATTTCGTACGTTAGGCTTTACAGGGTTAATGTGTTATTCTGGGAACACATTCACATGTAAGACTGATGCTTATACTCACATCTACTCTGAAATCATCAATGCTCTTGAATTTGCTGAGGTATTCCTGGAGTTTGGGGTCAATGGGCTGATTCTTCACCTTTGCGTATTTCCGGAAAGCCCAGAATTTCTCCAGCCCATATAGTTGACCTACACGTATACACAAACCCCCAAACATCAGATGCAAGCACATGGTGACACATCTTTGTGTCAAAAAATGGTGGTTTACTAACAAGTTTCCGCCAATGTACTGAGTAAGTAAATTTGACCCACAAAACACCAGACACTAATATGATTGGTGATATGCAGCAAAGTTAAAAAGGCAAAATAAACATTTCTGCCTTTGCATGTTTTTGATTTTTTTATTTGTTTTGCCAAATTATGATTGTCTGACCTTTCTCATAGTCCTGGATGGTCTCCTCCTGGAAGTCCTTAAAGATGTCTTGTCTGAACCTCCGCTCTAGTCCATAACTGTAGAACCGGAACAGACACTCCAGCCCGTACCTGTTTAAACATTTGAACACACATTAGGAAACCAGTGTTGGCCTTCCCAGGTAGCACAGCAGGTAGTATACAAAAACCTTATACATCCTTTACCAGTCTAATCATTTGCATGACTTTCAACATTGCAAATACTATACATGCAGAAAGTCAGAGCTAGTACAGTTTGCACTTGTCTTAAGACTATCGTTTTGCGCCAAAAAAACAAGCACAAGATTCTAAAATATACTGCAATGATCTGGGTTCCCAGAAAAAGGTTTTACGTTTAAACTATTTTGTTGGTAACTGATTTTGATACCAAAAATTGTTGGCAAATGCTTTTTATTTTTGTATTGTTGCATTGTTGCATGAAACAAGATTTATTGTTTAAGAATTTGCAAGATTTGTGATGTTGATAGCATTTGAAGTTCAAGATACTTTCGATACTGTACATGATTTTAATATTGCATTATGAGTTTTGTTGATTCAAAAAACAAGTTAAATAGGAGTGCAAGCCCTCAGCATTCAAGATACAGTACTGAAATACACACACTTGCCTAACAACAACTAATACAAACAATCTGTGAGTAAACAACCAGAAGAGTTTGTGCATCCCTGTATAAGAACCAGACAGAACAATGTTCAGACTTGGCAGCCATTTTAATGTGGGTGTGTTTGTATGTTGTGTGTTATATCGGTCAAACATGAATGCTAACTTCAACATTCTCTCACAAGAAATTGCTATGATAGCCAATATTTCATTTATATTTAATTTTTTTTAAGAATAGACATGAACCATTTTTCA